GGACTACAGACGCCTGCCACAATGCTTGGCTATTTTTTGGTTATAGCTGTCATTGTTGTTTGGCAGGCCAGGGCTGGATTTGAACCCGCCAGCTCAGGTGTATGTGGCTGGCGCCTTAGCGGCTTGAGCCATAGGTGCCGAGCCGAGTTATCCTAGTAGAGATGGGGTCTCGCTCTTGCTTAGGCTTTTTTCAAACTCCTGAGCTGAAGTAATCCACCCACCTTGGCCTCCCAGAGTGCTAGAATTATAGGTGTGAACCACGATGCCAGCACTAAGTATTCTTAACTCCCCAGGTTAAGAATTCAAAACAGTTCAGTACCCCCAAAGCCCTCTCATATTCCTTTCCCATTTACTACCTCCCTAACTCCCCCCACCAAGGAACTATTCTGATTTCTAATGTTCAAATTTAGTTTTGTAAGGCAAATTATGAACCCTTCTTTGCCCCTGTTTCCTCATTTATAAACTAGTGATAAGACACACCCCATAAGCTCACTGTGTGAAGAAATGCCAGGCACTGGGCCAAGTGTGCATTAGCTCATCCAGTTGTCTATGGAAGTGGATGGAGGATGGAATGGTGCTGTTTTCACTTTACAGAAGGCTTTAGCTGTCTGTTTGAACTGGTAGAGGGCAGAGCTGGGATCTGTGCCAGGTCTGTGGGCAGCTTACAAGCTTAGAGGCTCGATCCTTGTCTTGATACTAATTCTCTAAAACGCTGAAAACCCAGTATCTAGAATGCTGCTAGGAAGGAAAAACCTAGTATCTAGAATGCTGCCAGGAAGGAGTAGTCAAACTGCTTTCAGTCAGTCAGACTATAAGTATCTCTCATAGTGCCTGTCATACAGTAGCAGCTTAATAGGTGTTTTCTGAATGATCTATATAGGCAGGCCAAATTAATGCTCTCGTCTCTTGCATTGGTTACTTACACTTTAATCCTACTCTGGTTGCTGAAATGATCCAAAAGGAATACAAACAGGAGCAGACACTGTATAAACTCGTTTCTGGTACTAATCCTGGGACAGGAGTAGAATCTTCCCACAGTGCTTCTTTAGAGTGTCCCCACCTTGTAAGCACTGACTCCAGCTCAGCCAGCCTGTGGTCCTCATACCTCCCCTGAGCCACCACAACACCGTTCCCAAGGGGGAGAAGACAGAGACCTCCCACAGAACACTGACTTCTGGAAAGGTAAAGGACCCTGTACCTGGGTGACTACTGACGAATAATGATGCTGGGAGCAGGGTGGCACAGCCTGGAGTCTCTGCAAGGCCCATGAGGCATAGCCTAGAAAAAGCTGTTAAGGACAGTCAAGTACAAGGCTCCTCTCTGGGAGAAGAATGGGCATTTACCCTTCAAAAAATTATGCAACACACAAAGCAGGACAAAGAATAACACCTAATATCCAGATTTAACATGTTTACACTTAGTTTTTTTTTTTAAGGAAAATTCATGGAAACAGTTAAAAGCCTTCTCTGACTCCTCCCCAGTCTAATTCTCCCTTATCCTTTACCTGGAATTGCCCTTCTCCAATTGGTGTAGTTCTTTCTGGCCCATGCTATAATATTTTCAGTTATTTGTCCATGAACTCTGTATAATACCATCTGTTTTTAACTTCTTTTGTTACCCACAGTAGAGTGCATGGTGTTCCAGCTCACAGCAACCTCCAACTCCTGAGCTTAGGCAATTCTCTTGCCTCAGCCTCCCAAGTAGCTGGGACTATATGCACCCATCACAATACTCGGCTATTTTTGGAGACGAGGTCTTGCTCTGACTCAGACTGTTCTCAAACTCATGAGCTCAAGCAATCCACCAGCCTTGGGCTCCCAGAGTGCTAGGATTACAGGTGTGAGCCACTGTGCCTGGCCTAATCTTTTTCTTTTCTTTCTTTTTTGAGACAACAGTCTCACTCTGTCACCCTGCGTAGAGTGCCTTGGGGTCATAACTCACAGCAAGATCAAACTCTTGGGCTTGAGCAATCCTCTTGCCTCAGCCTCCTGAGGATCCAGGACTACAGGAGCCCACCACCACCATGCCTAGCTAGTTTTTATTTTTTTTGAGACAGAGCCTCAAGCTGTCATCCTGGGTAGAGTGCTGTGGCATCACAGCTCACAGCAAACTCCAACTCCTGGGCTCAAGCAAGTCTCCTGCCTCCGCCTCCCAAGTAGCTGGGACTACAGTAGGGTGACCAGATGTCCCGATTTTGGCGGGACAGTCCCGCTTTTCAACAGTTTGTTCCGTGTCCCGCGGCATTTTAAAAGTCCTGATTTTTGGAAAGAATGCATGAACGGGCTGGAGAACAAGAAGGGAATATGTGGTTTTCGGCCACCATATGACTATTTCACCAGAATATGAGTTTTATATTATTTTTGTTAATTTTATAATGTTAAACTGTAATAAATAATTGCTGAGAAGTGATTATCAAGAACTGCTTATCAAAGTTTGCCTTGTTGTCAGGCCCTGCCCTGCGCCGTCCCCTGGCCATGTTGTCCCGCCTTACAGATGTTAAAATCTGGTCCCCCTAGACTACAGGCACCTGCCACAATGCATGGCTATTTTTTGGTTGCAGCCATCATTGTTGTTTTTTGGCAGGCCTGGGCTGGATTCAAACCCACCACCTTAGGTGTATGTGGCTGGCACGTTGGCTGCTTGAGCCACAGGCGCCAAGCCGCTAGTTTTTCTATTTTTTAGTAGAGATGGAATCTCGCTCTTGCTCAGGGTAGTCTTCTGAGCTTAAGTAATCCACCCACCTTGGCCTCCCAGAGTGCTAGGATTATAGACATGAGCCACCGAGCCTGGCCTTAACTTTAATCTTAATTACTATTTTTTTAAAAATTTTTTAAAAGATGAGGTCTCATTCTGTCACCTAGCCTGGAGTACAAGCAAATGATCATAGTTCACTGCAGCCTCCAAATCCTGGGCTCAGATGATCTTCCCAAGCGCTAGGACTACAGGTACATGCTACCATACTCAGTTTTTTTTTTTTGAGACAGGGTCTCATTTTGTCACCCAGGTTAGATTGCAGTAGCATCATCATTGCTCACTGCAACCTCAAACTCTGGGGGTCACGTGATCCTCCTGCCTCAGCCTCCCAAGTAGCTGGTAATTGTAGGTTCAAATCCAAGTAATTTTTATATTTTTTGGTAGAGGTGGGATCTTGCTCTCTTGCTCAGGCTGGTCCTGAACTCCTGGCCTCAAGTATTCTTCCCACTTTGGTCTCCCAAAGTGTTGCTAGGATTATAGGTGTGAGCCACAACTGGTTGATGCCAACAATCTTTTAAATTTAGAGATGGGTTCTCACTATGTTACCCGGGCTGTTCTTGAACTCATGGGCTCAAGTAGTCTTCCTCCTTCAGTCTCCCAAGTAGCTGGCATCATAGGCACGAGCCACTGCACCTAGCCAGCTTATTTTTAAAATGCATGGCAGTGGCACTGCAATGAGAGTCTTCTACAACTTTCAGTCTCCATTATCCCTTAGATTCATCTATGTTGATGCATACAGTTCCAGTTCAGATGGACTAGATAAACTGCAAATATACCACAATATATCCAGTCTCTCTTGATGACAGCACCTAGGCTATTTTCAGTTTCTTTGCTCTGCTGCTGGAATGGCTATCTCTTCTTGTTGCCTTGTTTCATGTGTGAGTTTCTCTTAAAGCAGAGTTTCTCAAACCCATAGTAAGAGCTTCATTTTACAGTGAAATGTAATATACACAAATATTTAAAAAGTTTCATAAGATATTAGCCCTTATTAATTATTTTTGGTTATTTCATTAAGAAAAAAACACTTCTCTTTCCTTCCGGCCAGAGATGCCATCTTTCAGTTATTCACGAAAATGATGAACACAGAGAGAAAGAGGAGAGGCACCCAGTACATGTTCTCTAGGCCTTTAAGAAAGCAGGGAGTAGAGCGGTGCCTGTGGCTCAAAGGAGTAGGGAAATGGCCCCATATGCTGGAGGCCAGCCCCAGCCAAAACTGCCAAAAAAAAAACCAAAACAACAAAACATGGAGTTGTTCTGTTCCTTTGGCCATATACATGCAAATCTGCAAGAAAGGTGACACTGTAAACAGCAAAGCATGCCCCACACGTGACCATGGCAAAGTTAGAAGAGTCTACAGTGTTACCCAGCATGCTGCTGGCATTGTTGTAAACAAGTAAGGGCAAGATTCTTACTAAGAGGATTGATGTGCATATTAAGAACTCTAAGAAGCCAAAGAAAAAGGTACCTGGGTTCAACTAAAACACCAGCTTACCCCACCCAGAGAAGTGCACTCTGTGAGAACCAATGGAAAGAAGCCTGAACTGCTGGAAACCTATTCCCTAAGAATTCAAAGTATAAGGATGTAAAAAATAAAAAAAGTCTATTATAAATTATTTTTAAAAAAGCCCACTTCTCAAGAAATTGAGTTAATAGCTCACTGAAAAATCATAACCTGCAGTCTGAACAGGCCATGCCACTGTCTGTACCTAAGGTGGAATTGTGGGGTTACAGGGCACATTCATCTTCAACCTAAAATATCAGTTTACTTATGCCAACAGTTTTCCATAGCCTTTACATGTGAAAAAACTTGGCATTATCAGCCCTTATAACTTTTGGTTATCTGAATTATTTTAAGTTGCTTTTCCCTTACTACATGTGGGGATAACAAGTCACAGGATTAGTCATTTAGGTTTCCTTTTCTTTGAATTGCCTCTTTATCCCCTTTACCAATTAGTGTCTTCTGGTTTATTTCTCTCCCCTTCCCTTCACAGTCAAACTTCCCTCCAGAGAAGCTTATGTTTATCCCTATTCTTTATGTTCCTTTCAGGCTTGACCATCATCTTTCCAGTGAAATGTTCTCCCCATGGTCTAATACTCTAGTTTCTAAATCTGATGGAAACAAGCCAGTCCCACCTTGTGGCCACATAACCCTGTTTCAACAATACACTTTTTGGCCTCTGACTTACCTCTTGGTCCATCTTTGGCCCTTCTAGACCCTAAGCCTGTCTCTTTAGTCCCTTTCCTCACTCTGCTGCATTAAGTTCATGCCCCTACAGTCTTGCAGCAGCCTTCCATCTGAGGGCTCATCCTCACCAGCCTGTCCTCCCACACCAACAAAACTGTTTAAACATGTTGACTCCACAATCACAATCCTCTAGGGGGATCCCACAGCCCCAAGGAGTCAGTCTTGAAAGGCTCTATACCCAGGGACATCATAGATACCCAACTGCTTCTAACCCATACCAACTCTCTTAATTCTTCTGTTAGGAGATCCAGTCTCTTCCTCCCACGTGGTTATCACCTCCAGGAAGGGTGGTGCAACTCCTGCATTCCTCTTGCATGCAATTTTCCTCAGACTGATTGCCTGTTAACAGTCTGTCTCTAGCACCTTGCACAGCAACTGTATTTTTATTTATTTTTATTTTTGTAGAGACAGAGTCCCACTTTTATCACCCTAGGTAGAGTGCTGTGATGTCACGGAGCTCACAGCAACCTCCAATTCCTGGGCTTAGGCAACTCTCTTTCCTCTGCCTCCTGAGTAGCTGGGACCACAGGTGCCCACCACAACGCCTGGCTATTTTTTTGTTGCGGTTTGGCTGGGGCTGGGTTTGAACTGCCACCCTCGGTATATGGGGCCAGCACCCTACCCAGTGACCCACAAGCGCTGACCGTTGAACAGGGACTTTATATGCTTAAGAGATGTTAGATGACTACACAGATACCTCACTGAAAAATGCAAATATCTGCAAAACCACCAAGCAACACTATTGACCATCTGAATGTATGATGTGTATGTGACATACTGCCTTGGGTGGTAAACTCCATGTTAAACATCTCTAGTATATGAAGGCTGTTGAAACTCTAAATGGGAACACTGCTGCTTCCTAAGTAAACTTTGGCCTCTAGGTTTAGAGAGTAAAGAAGTTACTGTGTGAAACCCAGCTTACACTCAAACTCTATATAGTACGTATGGGACCAGTATTGCAGATATAATCCGTTAACAGGCCACAGGTTAACTAAGGGCTCGGTAAATATACAAAGAATTCACTTTAACTTCCCCCTACCTTTGGGGGGAGGGGAAATGCAAAGTATAGGTCTGAACAAGACAACCATTTTTATAAAGGGAAAAAGCTCTATGAACTTCAGTAGAAACACAAACTCTCCAGCACAAAAGCCTGATTACCCAAAATAACCACTAGAAGATAAGCCACTGATCAAACTACAACAGACCACACTCTCTAAGCACCAGTATGTGTATTGTTATTCTTTCCTTTGCCCACAGAGAAGAGCATGAGAACACGCCATCGTGAGAGGTGAGAGTGAGAGAAATGAGAGGTTCTTGTTTTTTTCTCTCTGCAAAGCTTGGCCTCTTCTGTCCTGATTAGTTCATCATTCATTTAACAGGTGGTCCCATTGGCCTACTGAGTCAAATGGAGGCCACATAAACCTTTCAATTTATTGAGCACACTGTTTTGTGCTTTACAGTGAATTTATAATCAGATCTCCAATGTACTCTAGGCTTTAAACTGTTTGAAATCGTGCCGTGAAACAGATTAAGAAAAAGTTCTGATTCAACTATCATTTGATGAGGTTTAGTGATGTGCCAGAAACCATGCTAAGTGCATTCATCGAAGTTAACTAATGTTTTTTTTTTTTTT